CAAGACCCCTAATATTCCAAACAAGACCTATCATATCTAATTGATTTTAAAAGGGTGGGATAAGTCACAAGGCTTGGCTTTAGTTAGAACAGCAGGTGTTCCCCTAGCAGCATCAGCAGTGCCAACTGGCTCCAAGGAAAAGGCACCCCCAGGTGTACTAACTAACTCATTAGAATCAATGTCAAGATTATCAGGAAGAACTAATTCGAGATTATTATTGGCAAAAACCAAACATCTCTCTTTCTCCATAACTATCATCTCATCAATGGTGAGGTTCTTTTGAGTTTCACCCCCCAATAGTTAAATTCATTTGACTCATTTAATCAGCAAGAATAGACTTATCAACAGTGGAAAAGGATTTACCTTTAAATTGTGGTATCTCCAAGTTCTTCCTCCTCTTATATGCAGCAGCTTTCTCCATGATGTTAACATTCCCATGTCCTCTGGCAGCAGGCCTCTGAGCTAGCACAGGCCCCCACCTTGGCTTCTTCTCATGAATGGCATCATCATTTTGGGTATGGTTAAGTGATTCCAGCAGGGATCTCTTCCAAGTCTCACTTTGTAGGATTTGAACAGCCTCAAGGGGGGGAACCCCCAACTCCTCTTCTTTTGTCTCCTCATTTTCAGAATCAGATATATCCACTGATCTTAGCAGATCCTCACAATATTCCATACTACCAGCACTCTTCTTAGATGTCATGTGTGTGTGTCATTCTTCTCAGATGGAGAGGGGGCTTTTTGAGTCACCATTCCTTCCTCCTCTCTTTCCTTCCCATCGGCAGTTTTGTGTTGTTCTAGAAGATTGCCAACACAGCCAGACTTAGGATCATGTACATCAGAAGATGTACCACCAAGGTCAACATTAGCCAAAGCACATTTCATAATGAAATCCTCCTGGTCAGCATCATGGCCATGTTCCATAGGTGTAACCACCTAACTTTGAGCAACATATTTGTTTGAGGACCCATGTTTGGTTGAGAAGTTAGCTTTGTCCAATTCATCAATGGCCAGACCACCATCACCTGATCCACCAGATGCATGTTCTCCATGAGTCCCACTGTCCTTATCAACTTGCTCTCCCTCTGCTCTCTCATCTTCCTTATCACCATCTTCATCATCATCCACATCAATGACAGAGTCAACTCCACCTGTCTGCTCAAAGCCTTCTATAGTGAAACCAAGCAGGAACAACTTTTTCTTCATCTCAATCAGTCTCTCAAAAGGAATCTTAGTTGGATCCCTGCAGGCTATTTTAATTCTAACATTCTCAAAAAAAAGTCCTAAACATCCCATTCCAGTCCACATCTGTAAGCACCCCAAATAGCGAAGCAATTTGAGCAAAAACTTTCCAAGTACGCCATTTTGGGGGAATACCCTCAATTAACACCCATGCTTCAACCAGCTTCCCAAAAGGTTCACACCCTCCTTTCCATTCAGTTAAAGTAACATTCACATCCTGTGGTAGGGAGAACCCAAGCAGTTCAATGAGGTCTTCCACTTTCTTCCAGGGGGGGGGGGAATCTGACCAAAAAGGTCTTGCTGGAGAGCCCTCTGATTTGCCATGGCCAGTGTTCGGTCTTGCAGAAAGTAGCAGATAGTAGTTCCATCAGTTTAGAACAATCCACTTCTCCTTTTAAGATATTCACCACCGCACAGTTCTGAAAGTTTAACCACTTTGACTCATTAGCAACAGGGATGTCCACATGGTAGAAACCAAGACCTTGAGCTCCAATTCCAAAGAAGGCGGCACTAGGTTGTATCTTAGACCACGCCGCATAGTTGTTTACATTGTGATTCTGCTGACACATAAAACAAGCTTTTGGCTTCACGCAGTTCCCAACATAATGCCCAGGCCCACCATAGTTGAAGCAAATCATATCCTTATACCTAGGATCAAGGACTTGTTCCACTTCAACCTCTGCAGATTGAGAAGATTGTACCTGAGCAGAGCCAGCAGTCGAGGCTGTGGATCTGGTAGGCTTGGGGGAAGGGGCTTGTTCCTTCGCAACAAGCGTAGATGGCTTCCGCCCAGCGAAGGAGGTGGATTTCTGCCCCGTTCCCTTGACTGGACGGCAGCAAGATTGTTTCTCCCTCCTGCACGGGGATCGGCCATCTTCGACCCACGCTTCACAACCTCCGCAAAGGAGAGTGAACCAGGCCCGATCCCTTCACGAGCAACCTTGATTTGTTTTGGTGGTGGGTCGAATGGTCGACTTGATGCAGGATAACAATCAGCGGCCGAGAAGGAGTTACTCTCAACCAGGTCTCTCCGGATCCAACAAAGGAACCCGACTTTAGGGTTAGTTTGCGGCTGCGGGGTAGGGTTTTTGGGATAGCGACGGCGAGGGGGGAAGGGATAAGCCAAAGCTGGCCAAAGTGCTCCTCCACATTTTCTAGGGATTCCCCTTTACGTAATCGCCTCACCCTACTCGTTTTCTCCCCAAGCACATGTAACTTGGGTGTGGGGCCAGGCAACGCTAGATTTGAAGGGGAAGAATGGCAAGGAGTCGTCCCCCTGGTTTGGGTCTAGAATTTAAAACATGACTGAGCCCCTCGCTGGAAACCAACTCTGACGAGGTCTCCCCGGCTGTAGAAGCAGCCACACGATCCTTACTGTTCATTGGAACAAGAGGGAAAACCCCCGACTCTACTACCGAATCTTATCAGACAGGTGAATATTCGACCCAACTCGATCTAACATCCCCAATCGGCGCAAACGAAAATCCCTCAATCGAGACTTAAGAGTTAAATCGGCACGAATATGTATGCCTAACTCACCAAACCAAGGTGGGGGTCGATGGGTCGTCGCTGTGTTTGAACCAGTTGGGGCAGCCGATCTACTGACGGCGTTGGGGCCAGACGATCCCCGGAGGGAGGAACTCCGGCGGGATGTTGGCGATGCCCTCCCATGACGGCAGGTGGATGTTGAGCCTTGAGGGATTCGCCGTCCTGGAGTTCTCCCACCGCGCACCCTGCCGCAGATCCGACGACTCCGCCTCCTGGATCGCCCAGAAGAGGAGCTCCAGATCCTCGCAGTCGTCATCTCCGATGAAGCGCGCGCGCTCGACGAAGTTCGTGTGGCGGAGGATGTGGAGGTGGATCTCCCCCCACTCGTCTCGGTTGGGGAAGTGCTCCATCACCACCCGACACATCTCCCGGCGAGCCTCCGACGAGTGCGGGTCGGGTAGCGGCACCGCTGCAGGGGGTGGAAGTTCCTGCGGTTCCGCTACCCGTGCCACCGGCGCAAGCCAGCGAACCCGCACGCCGCGGCGACGCGCTCCAGCCATGCGGAATCTCAGATGGGGATTTTGGGCGGGGAGAACTCGACGAGATGCAGGGGTGGGTGGGAAGCTGGGGGTTGGCTTGCTTTAATGGCGCATTAGTTGCTCCGCCCGAGGGGGAGGGGAGGGGACGGGAGGGAGAGCGAGCCATCTTGAACGAACAAAATATCATCTGGATTATGTAAATTATGTCTGAACTTATGACCACTAGAATGAATTCCGTCATATTTGCATGAATTATGTTTGAGTTTGTATTGCGGTCCGAGGTTTTTAGCAAGCATTGGATGAACGGCTCCCATATCACTATCTGCGGACGAGTCTAGACAAGTTCACGGATAAATAGTGTCTGTTTTTCGGGCCAGCGTTAGTTATCTATTGAATATGTCTATGAGTTGGGCTACACTTGAACTTGTCATTGATAGAAGGTTAGGTGTCTGAAAACCCGTGTGAATAAAATCTTTTTTTTCTTTGCAAGGATAAAGATCAAAAAATTGACTAGTAAGTTTCTTTCCCTCAAATCACCATAAATGCATTTTTGTCATCAAAGTCTGGACGCATTGGAAGACACGAACATGTTCATTCATTCGTAAAAGAAAAGAAAATGTCATCGTACGAGAAATCGTGTTTTGTTTATTATATAGAGGGAAAAAAGGAAATTGACCAGAGTGGGATTTGAACCCACGCCCTTTCGGACCAGAGCCTTAATCTGGCGCCTTAGACCAACTCGGCCATCTGATCTGTTGTACTGTTGTGCGATCTTTTACATGAAGGCAAAGCTGGAGCCGTTGTGCCCCTTAACCGCCTTAAGACATGCCTGCAAGAAAATTTTCGAACATGACTGCTCTCCCCATTTCCAGTTTTCTTTTTTGAAAGGTCTTCCCTATTCCACGGCCCGAGCCGTAATTGTTGAATATCTTGCTATTTCCCACTACCTAGAAATCCAGGGCAAATACATAGATTGGACGTGATCCAACGGAATGTTATTATTTTTCACAACATATTCACTCCTTTAGCAAGTTTTCTTCCAGTGTGAAAATAATCTTGGATCATGTACAATAGGATGTCAATGTTATTATTCTAGCATAAGAACTGATGGGGGATGGAACATGCAAGTCCCCTATGACCAAGTTACACGAAGATAGCATGGTTATTCAATCTACATTCTATAATCATTTGGTTTTGTCCAAAAAAGTATAGTACTAGTCTTACTTGCTTGCTGGCGTTGGGGGGATTGCACATAAAGCGAGAAAAGAATCTCTTAAGCCAACTCTGCCTAACAAAATAGTTGGCTAACACAAAAACTTCCAAAAATCAATAAGCATTCTATCCACTCTTTCGTGGTGACGAGAATTCGACCAACATTAGTTGAATTCAGGCAACATTAGGAGACGAGAAATTCTCTTAAAGAACCATTTCTCTCCCATCAATTAAAACTTACTCGTAGTTGTTATTACAAAGGGGGGACAGATAAATGTGTCCTCTTATAACAAAAAGCTCTAGTCTAGCACAACACTCCTTGATGCTCTACTGTGGATTTGTGCAAGTATTTTGGACCTAAACTAATCCTTCATATTACCCTTTAAAAGACCGTGAGGTTCGAAAAAAATCTATGTACTCCTACAGTGTGATGAATCTGTACAACGGCTCACTGCTTTGATATATACTTGCATGAGAAAAAGCTTGCGCCAACCCGCGGCATGCCATTGCCACGGGATGTTTCTACAGCGTGAATGTGTATCCCTCTGGACACATCTTCTGTTTCCCTTTATTGAGGGTCGTTGGGTCGTCGTCATCCTCCGTTGCTTCCCACCTTACCAGATAGCCGTCCCACGAAGAGCTAACGAGCGTCGGGAGGTGCGGGTGCCAGGAACAATCTCTGACGATCGATTCATGCCATTTGAGTGTTTCGACAACGTTTCCAGTGGCCTGCAAGCCAAGCAGGGACATAGCAACTTTAAGATGGCAATTAGAAATTTGAACTATACATATAAGACCTTTTGAAATACTTTGAGGTTAAACCTGGCTATACCAAGGCATCGAAAAGCATAGCTTATACTATAATCTACAGAATCATGATATTATTCAGATTCATAATTTGTTCCTTCAGGGCCATACTTATAGATAGTCAGAATGTCATAATTACAGTTAAAACCTGCAGCATATGGTCTATTCACCGACATGGACATAATACATAACTCTTTTACCTAAAATTTCCTTGAGTAGCTTATTATCCCAATTAACACAACATTTCACTCATTCTAAAAAATATTCATAAGTTGATCAATGTTGGTTGATCAATGTTGGAAGAGTTTTTTATGAAGTTTGTATATGGAAAGCTTTTAGATTTAAAAACAATTTCAGGATTTTTTTTAATCCTCGATTTTATGTTCAAGTTTTGCTGACACAGTTGTGTACAAGTGTACATGATTCCATCTACTACAACTATGATATCTACTTTTCATAGTATGTCATCCACTTTCTATCAAATGGGAATGCTCACCCATGTGGACACAAAACCACCAGGATTTGCAAATAGTAGAATCATATTTAAAAAGGGCAGTTTAAGGAAGCATCTAAGGCTCATACCACATCGTAAATATAGACACATTGGTCACTGGATCCTGTGTATATGTACCTCTGACCTGTGCTGCAACAAATAACAAGGTGACAAACAATATTACTCAATAAAACAAAACAACCATAACTCGTAGCAGTATAAACTGTTGCATGATATGATGAATTGATGATAGTATTCTATTATGCCACTCCTACTACCACGAGCTTTTACCTTTGTGGAAACGAAAAGCAGCATTTTGCGTCATACATTTAAAAAAGGACAGACCCAGTGCTAGAAGCTCCCACACCAGGTGGGATCTGAAAAGGATTCAGGTGTTTGTAGAAAGATGATTTACATGCTTTTGCCCCTATTGCACTAAAAAACCAATTTAGACAGCCTACAGCAGGAAGGATTTTCAGGTGTTTGTAGAAAGATTTATGTGATGCAGCAGCGAGTGAAAGAAAACACTCAAATTGAGTTGAAGTAAAACAATCACAAGTTCACAACTAACCTGTGCATTGGGGAAAAGTAACAACGGATAAGTGTGCGCAACACCGAATGGCCTCTGAATGTGGCTAGCGATTGATCATATGAATGCTTCAAAAATCGGGCTTCTGATGGATAGGTCATCCATCTGTAATCCCATTCGTATGCTTTCGGTGTGCAGCTGAGAAAACAGTTGTACGGAAAATTTAGAATAAAACAGGGAAATAGATCTTGGGATTATAAATAACCTTACGAGTTCACATAGGATAAACATAAAGCCATGAACATACTAAAAAGCCAGAGAAAATGACAAAAAAACATTTAATCCATAATGTTGAAAATATTAATTACCAACATAGTCCATAAACCCTAGAAATCTTGAATTAATATTATCAACAGCCCAGTAAGTGAGCCACTAAAGTTAATTATGGCTCCTCTGCAAGTATTTCTGGTATGGAGAAACATGTTCATAGAAGACAGGAAAAACTCGATATATTCTATTAGCTCCACTCAATACATATAATTCGGCACAGTTGACTTTTGCCAGAGTTGATCATCTGAATGAACATTCTGAGTTTGCCTTCCTACTTGCCTACAACGTAATAATCATTTTCAAGTATAAACAAATATCAATACTTCTAGAAATGACCATGTAAAACAAGTTTTGGTAGTTACTCCTTCGTAGCCGAGGACAATTTTCTGATATCCCATAGTTTAATAGTCTGGTCCTTGCAGTTGGAGATGAAATAATGCCCGTCTCCACGGCTATCAATAAATGTAACTCCATCTAAATGACCTGCCAAAACACCTACTGGTTTCGCGCTCTTGTGGCAGCGCCTATCCCACACCTGAAGATTGTAAAACATTGTCTAACAAGTCAATCCTCCGTGAATAATGATTAAATGAGAACGTTACTAGATACTCTAAAGGGTCTTCAGGTTTTCATTGATTTCACATTTCCTAGACAGGTAAAAAAAGGAATCATGTGTTCCAGATAAATCATGTTGGAGTTTGCACTCAGCAAAGAAAATTACATTAGATATCACATGCAGTAATCATTGTGCATTGCCGATAAGTTTTTGAACTCACTAATGTTTCAGATTGTTGGTATAATTAGCCAGCTACATATGCCAGATAACTTCTTCTCTACTGAACCAGTGAGATGTATCTTTTGAAATGGGATTTGAATAATATATAATCAGGTTCAAAGAAATTAGCTTACCTTACAGAGGCTATCATCACTTCCGGAGTACAAGACATCACTAGATTCATCAGCGAACGTGACCGCATTAACATCAGCCTTTAAAAACCAATGGAATTGAAAATAAGATTTCCAGAAACCAAACATAACTCTTTTGTATAGAACATCAGGTACTCAAGAAAATAAATACATATTGTTCATTCCGAAACTATGTTAGATCCGGCAACATTAGATATGCACATGGGCAACATGTGTTATACTGCACAACTTGCGAATAGACCCAACCACTGTGTCACGTCCCGTAACCACTGTTCCAGTAGTGTAGCATTGTTCAGCTGCTTTAAACTGAAACTGCATAAACATCTATTCATGTATCCGTAGGCCAAATACTGCAGGCCCGAAGGAGACAAACTTCCAGCCTGCACTGGACTACCAACACAGCTGCTGCTTCAGCTGACATAGTGATTGGTTTTACTGAGATTTATATTTTTACTTGCCATCTAATCTACTTCAGACTTAGCGGTTCTAACATTTACAGTGTTTTCTTTCACCATATACCATCACCCTGCAGTTTTGCAGAAAGCCAAACACCTTGAATAGTGATGGCACGCCATAAACTGTTTGACATTTTCCTTTTGGCTTCTGGTTTGGAAATACCTCTTAGAGGCATTAGGTGTTTATGTGATACTACACTACACTGTGAGACTCCTACAAACACAAATTTTATTTCAGTTCAGTACTCTACAAGGCACAGCTTCTAGCATGCTATCAGTATCTATCCAAACTGCTATGCTTAAAGCACCACCAAGAACTATTGCTTGCTGTGGTTCATTACTCCAATCTGTTATGCCTAAAGCAACACCATGCTTCATGTGGATGATTACTTCAGACATAACGAACCATTAGAGGATGCAGTACAAAAGCATGTAGAATATGCAATGTAAATGCTTTTTTTACTAATAATGTAAGTGCATTTCTATTCGCAGGAGACTAAAATCGTACAAACAAACTCCTTTAATTTTCTTTGCATGCAAACAGTAACAATGCTCACATTAGATACTTGAAATGATTTTAAAAGTACATATGAATATGACCTAAGCAGATATGTGTATCACCAAACAGTGTTGTGTACAGTACATTGGAAGGACAGGTTATGGAAGGAACAAAAGAAAGAGGGCATTTGACTTTCATACCACATGAGCATGAATGCGCTCTGTCACTTTGTTTGCTCCAAGATCATAAATACATATTGACTCATTGCTGTTTCCAACAACAAGTTCATGGCCATCTTTTGAAAACTTTATTGAAAATATTCCAAAGGAGGATTCATCGTCAGCAGCAGAAAAATTCAAACCCTCATGAATGTCCTGCATTATGATAAATAAAATAAATGCTTGTGAAAAAAACAGCATATTGCGAAAAAAACTGGTCAAATAAATGTTATAAGCTTTTTTTTTTGCCAAGATAAAGCACATTCATTTGGCAATCATGCAAATGGCAGGCAGGATGTGTTGAGTTTCTTCTTCATTTACATTGGTACAATGATACCAGAAATGGCAGGCTTGATGTCCTCAGAGTACTATTTTGTAGGAGAACTAAAAGATAGACAGACAACCAATAGGCAATAGCGCTAGAATTTCCTGACGGGGAGGATCAGTGGCAGCATACTAGATAATCCTCCGTCTCCTTATGTTAGGATTTGATGAGTTTCCTTGTAGAGATCTTTCCAAGTTGTTAGTGTTCTTAGGCTTCAAATTGATGCTTCTATCTAGAGTTTTGTATGTGAGCTATATAACGTATTAATGCCTGCCCTAGTTTATTACCAGTTAAGCAAGAAATAACGTATTACTCCCTCTGTAACTTAATACAAGACGTTTTTTGACACTTATCTCCCAGCCTATTCTTTTACCTATCCTACTAACGCAGCTCTGTGGGGCTATCAGCCCTGGACTGCCATCGAGCACAGCACAGTTAACTTATGCTCCGGATTCAGGGTTTATACCAGGAATACAACTATTTTATCCAAAAATTAATTCTCAAAGAGGAAACACATGGATATTTAATCCAGAAGATATATTTTCATGAACATGCTGATGACAATTGTTGGACAGGAATTATCATAGAACAAACAGTATGTGATTCGGTTATCTAGAGGTAGACTTGACCATATTGTAATTTAGAGAAGAGGACATACTTTAATATTAGCATGTGACTGCTTCAGAGCATTCTGAACATTTACTATGTGAACAGTAGGGGTCAGACTGGAATATGCCTGCAAAACAGATCAATAGCACTTTAGGGATAAAACAAATATGTGAATGAACTTAAACTATCATCAAGTCTAGTTCATAAAGTCAATGAAAGAGCTAATAATTATTTGCCAGAAATGATGGATGGAATTTTTACGAGTATTTCTAAAATGGTGAAAAAGAACTGAAAATATATTATTAGTGAAGTTGCCAAGAAAAGCAAGTCTACCTGCTTTTTACTCAGGTCTAAAAGTTTTCCTATATTATAGAATGTATAGAAACAGACAGGGAAGTATCTAAAATATCAACAAGATAAGCGGCGATTTTCTCTGATGAAATACATGAACGGCAGGAAATAATCAACTCCCTTCGATTGTCGCAGCTTTAGTACAACTTTTACTAAAGAAGTGACAATTAATTTGGATCGGAGGGAGTACCAATTATTTCCCCATTTCTTTTAGTTAACTATCAGAATGTGAGCAGTCAACCCTTCAAAACTTTGAACACTAATACGCTAATACATACAGAAGTATTAGGATTTCTCAACTGTAAGCACTATTACTAGATTTGTCAGAATAAAATAATTTCATCTCGTCATATGTTAAAAATAATTTCTAATAACGTTTCAATAAAATAATAATAGCCAAAGTTGTATATTGGAGACAAATAACAAGCAAGATATGAGGGAGGTGGTAACATTTTTTGGAGAAAATAAGCCTATGATTGATAACTGTTATTGATCTGACTGATAAAATAACGACTGGGTCAAATGATCTAATAACTTATTATTGTGCATAGGGTGCACAAAGTGTAGCTCATGAGGCTCAAATGCTAATGCAACTGCAAATTATATGGCACTGAACATATGAAACACTACCACTTTATTACAAACTATTCGATGGCTATAAACTTAACACTGAATTTGAGAGAACAAATAAACAAAGGGTCAATCTCTTGATATGAGGAAGGAGAAAGAAGCGCTAGCTCAGTGGCTGGAGTTCAAGGTGCTGAACCCGCTCACCCGCGTTTGAGTCAGCTATGCGGACTCCGCTGGGATGCTATCCGTTTGCGGAGAGGCCTCACTTCTATCTAACAGCGGACAGTTAAATGGAGGGATCCTTCTGCCTTTACCTAACATTTTTTACATGAGGAAACAAAGAACAAAATAGATGCTGAAAAATCATCCAACCAGTTTGATGTAAAATTCATCGAAGTAACTTGAAATCTGACACACTGCAGAGTATTTTGTATGGCAATGAGCATAATACGGACAGTGCGTAAAAGTACATCCAGGCAAGCATGTAAACATGCTTATGGGTTCCCCGGGAGAAAAACAAGTTAAACAGAAGCTAAAATGGAGTAAAAAAGATGTACAGGGTTACAACGAAACCAAATAAGCAATCCGTAAGAGGTTTACTAGGTATTGTTGATCAGGTGAGAGAGCAATATCTGATACTGTCCACCGCAGACTTTTGCAGTTTATATCCTTGTGGATCTTCCATTTTTTGTCAGCGTTATAGATTCTGATACGGCCTCCCTGATTACATTTTCGCATCGAAGATTGTTAAACAGCAAAGAAGCGGTAAACATATATAAACATATGAAGTAAATTCTTCTGCATAATATCATAGTAATCACATACCCGAAACCCAGCAATTAGTAGAGAACCATCCGAAGAGAATTGTGAGATGTATGCTGCGCAGTCCATGCTATCAACGCACCACGGGCCTCTTACTGGTAGGTGTTTGCGAAGAGCATAAGAGCAATCGGCTGAAGAGAATCTACCAAATCCTGAGCGATTGGATTCTCTTGATGACAACAGCTTGAATGTAGAGATATGGCTCTTGCCAGCATGAAGGCATGCACGAGTTCTCTCACTTGGCTCTGATTTAAGCCTAGTAAGATGGGAAACCTCCTCATCAATGACAAACACTTCATTAGCAATTGCAGGACTGCCTTGCTCTTGTTGAGATGGTCCTCCATGACACGTCTTCCGTTTGGAGCACATGTTTGGCCACTGACTTAGTCAATACTATTTACGAAACCATTGATCACTTCTCAAGCATAACCAATGATCCTTCCATTGCTAGATATCCACAGAACACCTATGCTTAAATAACGCAATTGATACATCACAAAAACAGTCTGTATGTGAAAGATAATAACTAGTGACTATTCTTAATTAATCAAGTTTGTATGCAAAAGACATAGCTATTGCTTATTCCTAATTATCCATAGATAAAATTCCAAAAAGGTGTCATACGTAGAAGTTGATAACAGTAGAGCTTTGTAGAGGATTGACAGCAAAGGTAGAGTTTGGAGGCAAGCCGGCCTACTCAGAGGGGATCTTGACGGTTTCTTTGCGGGAATAGCAATGTGGGTAGTGCATGGATAGTATGTGTTAGATGTGGAGTGGATGTTGATGGAGGAATCCGTGTAACTAAATTTGTAACTGTGTGGAGTTTGGGATGTCTTTCCCCTCCTTCTTTAATGAATGATACGCACACTCGTGCGTATTCAAGAAAAAAATGATCATACAGTTTATTCTAGATACATCACTCTTTAAAGGGGGAGCATAAAGTGCCAATTAGCTCAGTAACACCTAATGTGGTCATGACAATAACACAGCAAATGAGAAACAGTGCTAAAAGAACTGCACTGCAAAACAAGTGACATTGGAAATGGCACTTACACACTGAAAGATGATAAAAAAGATAACCCCTAACCCGTCTCAACTGATGATAGAGGGTTGGTGATAAAGGAATTTAAAGCATATTTTTTTCTCGAAGATGCATCAAAATGTGTCATTTTTGTACTAGGAAGAAAACGCCAAGAAAGTGGAAATAACGAAGCTTAAACAACAGCCAGCTAGCTATGCACAAGACTAGGCCAAAACTGAGGCAAAGGCAGCTGCTGTCACCACCATGGCTGAAGCCACAGCACCTGACTTGTCAGGCGGCATTGTAGCACTACACTGGCAAAGATGGCCTGTGGAAGAAACATGTGTCATACATTTCCTAAGAGATTGAATAAGGGCATTGTGGCCATCTTTCAAATTCCCAAGGACCTAGCGTTGTAAATTGGTGTTGCTGGGCTGATTTCCCCAAAAGAAATCAAATCTGGTGTCCGAGTAACAGTACTGACTATCACTGTATCTGTTCAGACGGAAACTCATTATATGACAAAAGAATTAAATTCTAGCATTCACCTCCAAATGATGATTTTAACGTGGACACAGGCCTGTAATCCAGCTTTCCAGGCAATTCCAACAAGGCTGGTATAGCTGATCTCCACAGGCTTGGGCACTTCTACAGCCAGTCATTCCCTACAAAATTTACAAACAATTTAGTCATCTACAGAAAAAGGAGAGATGTGCCTGTCCTTATTCTTCTTATGGTTGTGAGAGTGGCATTAGGTTCTCAGGTTGATGAAGAGGCAACAGTTACCACTATTCCAGTGATGTGTATTAACAGCCTAATTTGTTAGGGTGAACATTAGAAGCATCATAACCACTGTAAACTAGTGGAATCAAAACTAAACAATTGGGAAGACAGCCTCAGTGATGAGAACCGCTGTTTTATAGTAAGTAACCAACAGGAGTGACAGTCACCGAGTCAGTAAATGGGCAAATGCCTTAAAAGCTACTAAACTAAGCTGCCAGAGAATATTCTCTGAAATTCCAGTTCAATAGATACTCATGGGAGAAGAGAAGAATTTCCCAAGGTGGGCGTGGGTCAGAACGTAACTCTTTGCTCATTTAGAAACAGCTGGTCATAAAGGCCTACTAAAAAACCATCCTTGAAAGCAACAGTTTTATTAGACGAAAAGAGCGACATTTTTCAGGACAACAAGTTCCTGAATCACAGAATGGGATAAAACAAGTGCATGCCCAGGCCACCCAGGCTTGCCTTGCCCCAGTGGGGTGTTTTCATGGCAGTTTCTTTTTAATTGAAAATGCCACCGGTACGAGTGCCCATTGGTCGGGTTTTTAGGATGGGACAGAACACGAAATGGTCTGGACCTGAGTATACACGTTTTAGCATCAAGCATACCGCACTTGCACCAGAACATCCGATGCCACGAAGAACTAGTCCCCATATATAGTTGCAAACATAAACATACATCAAGCACAAGGGCACCGGGATCACGGAATGCGCAACTGCCATGAGCTGCTTAGCAAACAGCCAAAGCAAACCGATCCCCTTCTCGACGTTTTCCTCCATAAGAAAATTGCCGCAAGCAAGCAAGAAGCCTAAACACTCGGTTTGGCAGCCAAGAAACAGCTCACGTGGGATGTCTGGAAGAAACTCCGCCCCATAGGCAAAACAACAAACACATGACGCTCACCCAAGAAAAACCTACCCCGGGATGAAACGAGACCCATCAACTAGCCCAAAATTACCAGAAAAACGTCCCTTAATCCGTATTCACCCAGGAACAGATTTCAGGCGCATGCGCTTCTCTGATGAATTGCCTGCCCTCTACACAGCAAAGCCCAACATATGTCAACCGAAAGTACAAGAAGGATAACGCAGCAAGGCCTCTCGATTCGCCACGATCCATTCGTACCTGGAAGCAAGTAGAGGAGAAGGCGGGATGGGAGAGGGAATTCGTACCAGGTGTCAGAGGAGGCGTGCAGCTCGTGTCTCCTGCGGAGCGGCGGCCAGCGGAAATGCGGGGGCGAGAAGGGGAGAAGAAGGAGGAAGAAGAAGAAGGGAAGGAAGGAAGGTTTTAAATGAATAAAATACTGCAACGTGAAGGGGCTGCCCGCAAAACATAAACTAGGACTGCCTGGCGGGTCAATGACGCGTGGGGCCGCCGAACGGCCACGAGCGAGGAGGCGTGTGATCGGGGAGGCTGGTTGGTGAGCGCCGAGCCTGCCAGGAGCCAGCCAGTTGGTGGGTTGGACGCGTGGCGGGAGGTGAGTGGACGGCCGCGTGCGCCGAGGGAGCGGATCGGTGCGGTCGGCTCGGCTCGCAACGGTCGCCGTTGCGTACTGGATTACGTCAGCTTGGCCGGTGACGTCATAACGGATCCGCTTCGTGTCAGCATCGCGTAAAGCGTTTGCTTTTTTTTGGGTGCGTAAAGGAGCGAGCTAGTGCTTTTTTATTTGACCCACTTGTATGTAGTCCCTCTATTTTACATAGAGCGAATAATTCAAAGAAAGAAGCCGAACGGCTGGAATTGTGTGTTTTTATACCTCTTTTTATAAACAAAGTGGAGGACAGGTAGGTGGTGCTAAATGTATTTCAGCATGACCAAAGAGAAATTAGCCCGTAAGAAATCTACCCCTAATCTAAAATAAATAGTCTTTCTATGATGCTATTTGACAAGCCCCCTCCTCCCCTTGAGTTAGTTATTTTCCAAACAACATAGCAAGCAATTATATATTATGTTAACAAGTTAAGTACATTACCACAGGTCGTGACTTTTACCATCATTAGTTGATCACTATATTGCACATCAGTATGATGTAACTCTACTAAGCACCATTGTACTTGGGCAACTTCTAATCAAACAGTATGTAAAATACATTACTGACATGCTGGTAGGTTCTTTATATGGAACAAGTGACATTATCAAGTTAGCAATGTCTACAATTACCCTTGTAAGTTCTGAAAGGTCACTGGCAATGCACCTGGGATAAATCAAATGCACTCCATTAATCTCGTTTAACAAGATAAGTACATTGAATCATGGTAGCACTAGTAGAAAAAGGCCCATTTGTCCCGGTTCATAAGGCACATCTGTCTCGATTGGGGAACCGGGACTAAAGGGTCGTTATTAATGCCCTAGGCCTTTAGCAATGTCAGCTTCCACGTGGACAGATGGGCTTCCACGTGGCCACGTCAGCATTTCAGCGGCTGGTTTTTTTTTTTGAAAGGAGGTGGTTTAGGGGTTTGGGGGGTTAATTTAGGTTCATATAGGTTGCTAATAGAGAGATGTGTCCTCTCTTATCTCCGTGCTACTGCTACTGCTATACCTAAACATGACTTAGATTGAAGTGAGGCAACATGTGGTGCATGTCGAAAATAATTCTAACCTAACTTGATCGAGTTTGGATTGTACTACTTTTGACATGCACCACATGCATGTTACCTTCACTTCAATCTAATCCATGTTCATTTCACCCACAAATATATAATAACTCTTCATGCTCACATCATGCATCATCATAATAACAAGTCCTACTAATTATCATCATACAACTTCTACTCGTTATTAATAACAAGTCATACGATCATCATCCTCATAGTCATCGAACCAACCCTACTTAATTGTTCTTAGCACATGATCATCAGTATTAGGTAGGACCTAAATACCCTCTTTAAGGTAAAATAGCATAAAACAAAATAGACGCTGACTCTCCATTATGGAGAATGGAGATCATCCTGTCTCCAATTCTTGCGCTTCACTTCCTTTTGCTTCCAAGAACCTCCTTACGACTCTCCATACATTTTTTCCATCCTTTGATTTGCATATCTCCACTTCTTTTAGAAATCTGGTATGGACAGTTGAGATTCATAGGATGACCTGGCTGTATGTTCAAAACCTTAAGGCTACCTTTCTGATACATCAAATGAGGCACACAATTCTCTGGGATTATCTGTTGAAAAACATAGTAATAACTTCATAGTTAGCAATGATGTACTAGTTTTAGAAGTATGCAAAAGATGCACGGATGTCGTAATAGTAAAATATCTTACCAGGATATCTCCATGGTAGTTACCGTAGTTGAACACATGCACTAGTGGCATGTATTGACCATAATGTTGAGGAGTTTGATTGTAGATATTGTAATTCTCAATGTCAGTACAAAATCTGACCAGATGATTTTTCTCCTTGTAAGTTAATTCTGAGCCATCGGTGTAGTGGGTTTTGTCTACCATCTCCCGCACATTCTTTGAACAATGAAAATAAGCTATCAATGGAAATAAGTTGTCAACTATTTTGAAATAAACAATATAAATTAGCTAATAACTATGTTTGAGAAACTAAACTCACATA